TTTTTTAATACAATTGACCCCTGTGACCTTGAATATAATTGAAGGTCATTCATTTGAACAAACTTGGTAGCCCTTCACCCAAGCATGCTACTGGCCAAATATCAACTCCCTGGGCATTTTGGTTATTGAGAAGAAGATGTTTAAAGTTTTTGACATATTTGACCCCTGTGACCTTGAAAATAGGTGAAGGTCATTAATTTTAACAAACTTTGTAGCCCTTCATCCAAGTTTGCTTCTGGCCAAATATCGACACCCTAGGCCTTTCGGTTATTAAGAAGAAGTCGTTTAAAGTAAAATATTGACGCCGGACGACGGACGGACGACGGACGGACGGACGACGGACGCCGCGCCACGGCATAAGCTCACTTGGCACTTCGTGCCAGGTGAGCTAAAAATGGTATTAAGATTTGGTTACAATACAGTCAATAGTGTATGTCTCAGAGAACACATTTAAAATGAAGAAAATAATGCCTAGGAAAATTAAAATGTTATGATCATCATCAATTTCATCCACAAATGATTCAACAGAATCTCACAAGACGTACATTTCCATATGTATTGGTGTAAATACAATAAATCAACCCTGTGATTCAGAGTTGGACTAATCCCACCTTAATCGGGATCAAACTAAACCCTTAAGAAGGGTTGTCAGTTTAAAATTGTTTCAAGATTGGCATACATGTAATATTACTGAACAAAACACACTGAGATTTTTAGCATTAATATTACAGACAACAACATCTCATCAATACAACGAGAAGTAAGAGGAGTATTATCTCGTGGATGACTGCGATAGCAATTAATGACACTTTCTGGTACCCATAACTGTAGATATGACCTTGACCTATGACCTTGTCAGTTATGCCTGTTTCACTTCTCCCAGGGACTTATGCTCGTCAAAGTGTATAACTTCACACAACACCTACACTTGCATCCTATTGTCAAACATTATCTACCAGGTGGATTGCAGAGGAAACTTAATACTAAAACTCTGTACAACAGTAAATCCCACTGTTGTGTCGATGAAAACCTTCATCATGATGGTGAAAGTGAGTTTATACTTAACAAATAATGGACGATTTATTTCATCTTTACCTATCTCCAACAATAGCCTAGACATAGTTATTGTATTTTCATCAACAGCAAGGTTATTATGACCTTGAAATGGCAGAATTAAATGTTTTATAACTTACACCTGTCAACAGAAATCAAACTTTTGATACCCTCAACTGAAATAATTCACATGAAATCAATACTAACATCAGCACTTAAACATCACATAAGCTAATACTTGAGATATCTGTACAGATGCTACTAGTCTTGATAGTAGAGCCCCACGAGGGAACAGCACAGCCCTGGGGAGGAAACAGCCTTCCAAGAACAGCCTCAGGGGTTTGTGAGAACACCGAGCCCCACTATCATATCACAGTTGTCCAGGACCCTCGTACACCCAACCTCACCATTCTGACATCAACCAAAAGCACTGAGCTGTGTAGAGATAGTGCTGAAATGGAGTACTTTAACTAAGTTAGCACAGGCTATAAAAAGCAACTTATTATCATTTGCACAAAAGCATCGGGAATAGATTTAAACTTTGTACTAAAACAAAAACATTTTTAATTCTCCAGAATAGTTGACCAAGTATATTTTGATTATTCAGGCTAGGAATATCCGAATTATTTTTCCTTTTTAATGTTGATAATGTTTCAGCATATATCTCTTAAGTAAAATACTAATTGTTTAACAAAAGTTGAAATATACTGTATAACATGAAATCTTCGTTGTGTATTAACATTCGTGGTTTTCGTGATTGCTATTAAACCATGCAAATAAATGCCACGAATTTGAATGGTATACCTGTCTACTGTTTGTTAACAAGGATATACACGAAACATTGTACCACAAAGCCATCTAAATGGCTTCAAACCACGAAGGCAAGTACCCACGAACATTTCGTGTTATACAGTAACAGAATGGTGTCGGTCCAAACGTAAGGGCATCACTGCTCCGCTGGCTGTGATCCAGCTCTGTATATAAATACACCAGGTATGTACACGATGATAATTTGTTATAAGCCGTACACTAACAATGGCGCTGGGCTGGGCTAGAAAGTCTTTCTATGAATGGCCTTCACTCCTTCTTCATTGTACTCTCGTTTCGACACCCACATCTTCTTAAATGTGTCGAGGGAAGCTAAGATGGATCCGCTGTAATACAAAAACCATCAGAGTTTAACGATACTTCCGCACAAACACATATAATCACTGTAACATAATATCTCTTTTAATGTTGCTCAAACTTTTATTCCTTATTCGGGCCACACAAACTCTGATCAACTGAACAAAATGTAAAGCTTCACCCTGGTCACACGTTTTGTTTGTGTCAGTTTACATTAAATAGCTAAGTATTTCAGGAGTCTGATACATATCGTTTTATTGTTTTAATTCTTTCATTTGAATTTACACAGAATTAAAAGAATAAGCCCAAAGAAACAATAATTTCCATTAAATATATTTTGAGCTGTAACACACTAGGACAGGAGTATCACATCCAGTTTTACTACTTGGAATATAATATTCACAGTAGTTTTGTTTTCATGTCTTTCACAGTAAGTGAAAACTGCATATTAAGGTCTTTCACATAAATTTGATCTCAATGAAATTTGTATGAAAACGTGTTTTTTTTCTGATTACAAAAGTAAAGTCAACACTGAATACATCTTTCCTTTCCACTTTGGCCTGCCATGATACCGCCAAGCAAACCATGCACAAATTATTCTTTTCTGCTCTGAGCATGAAATAACACAACCCCAATTCAAACCTTTCTACGGTACCATATTCACCATAACTAGTGCCTAGGGTGGCCTTTGCAGGAATAATTGGCTGAAGGGGGGCACTTATTAAAATAACAAAACATAGATAAAGTTGGCTACATAACTGTCTGACACTGGGAACCAGTCTTGTCAGATTGTGAGAATTCAGTGTCTGATATTAAGTGTAGTGTTTAAACATATTTTGTAAAATTATATTTTTCTATTTGTTGAAACATGGGACAGTGATACATTTGTTTTAAACTTAATACAAATAATTTATGTGGTTACGTTAACAGAGTTTACTCCAAGTGGTTTGAATGCTTCCATATACCCTAAGACATCTACCCCTTCAAACACTGTTTTAAAACAGTTTCAGTCACTCAAGAGCTTTCTGAATTCATTAATTTTTCAGGTAATGTTTTATTATCTAACATGCCTAAATGTACAAATGACAGTCAAACTTCCTGTCGAGCACAGTGTTAGTAAAAAGCTTCGTCAGACATTTTCTGGCAAGACAGAAATAATAGACTTGACTATCTAGGAGCGCTTGTGCCTAATAATAACTTACCCTATCCATGTGGAATATAATCTTTCCTGGGGTGCAGAAATCTGGAAGAGAAAGCATTTCATTACTTACAAGCATGCTGACTGTCTACAAGTTTACCAGTGTATCATACTTTACTGCCATAACACATCAACCATATAAATACAGGTCTATACAAGTGACATGAAACAAACTCTTTTTAAACCATCCCATTTCTTACTAATGTGTGAATTCACAAGGATACAAAGAGACCAAACTTTGGCCTTAATGTCACCTGAATTGTAATAAACTGTTATGTCATGACAAAATAATGCATAACAATTAAATATGGCTTTTTAATTCACTGACAAAATGATGCTGGGGAGAAAAAAGACCAGACCTACATAAGTCTTCTCCAGTCTCCAGTATACCAACAGGGTCAGATGGAAAAGCTCCGTATAAAGGGAGGCAACTTACTGCTGAATACTGAGGAATTTTGCTCATTGAAATATTAAATCACCCCTCACAGGTAAAATCCATGATATTCACCCAGTGTTTGCCCCTTACATGTAATTATTATTTTATTTATGGTATGCTGTGTACTTATATTTGGTGTCAAGAATGGCTGATAATTTTCCAGGGTATGAAAGTTGACAAGTTTCTATCCACAACTTATTAGCAAGGTTTAAATATAACAGTTTTGTGTTCATCTGTCACAAAATGCAGTCAACTCCATCTTAATGTTATAGAGAAGTTTCACTGGAGGAGAAAGTTAATGGACTCACCCTTATTTTTATATCCTTTGGAGAAAGTTTCCTCACTTCACTAAGCAGTCGGTCCCCGAAACCTGAGAAAGAAAGGCAACAGTTATATTCTATGATATCTCCAGTAATGATTTACTACACACAATACTTGCCAACATTTTTACATCTGATAGATTGATTGCCATGTCTCCAGTAAAAGCATCTTGTGCTAACGTTTGTTAAAAACATTAAACTACAGTATTTAGCAGTGTCCTATAAAAGTGAGCTTACTTGTTTGACCTCTGTGTTAGAATAGATATGAGTAAAATATAGCTTTAGACTGTGTTCTCATTCAAAGTTGGTTGCCGGCAAACATAGCCTGCAATTCATCAACTTGGAACCGGCAATTTTTTCCAAAGTAAGTAACAAGTCAACATTACAGAACGTGAACATGCAACCAGCTATTCTTTCTAAGTCAACCATCTATTTCAAAATTTTGTGAGAATACTACTAGTGAAACTTCAGTTTTTTTGTTCTAGCAGACGTAGTTTTCCTCTGATCAAGCTGCTGACTTGAAGCTCAAGATGAAATATGGAAAACTATGAAGTCAAAGGGACCTACAACATTAATATTGGGGGAGAGAGAGAGATCAAGTACTTTCTGACAGCAATTACAAGATTAAATGTCAAATTCAAGGATGACAATCTGTCAGCCATCCTGTTCTGGTGATCAGTTCTGAAGTTGAACCTACGCAACTCAGCAACATTGGGAACCAGCTTGTGAAATTTAGAGCAGATATGGCTTTACTGTTTCATTTAATATTTTACAGCATATGAAGCGAAGCTATGTATTTTCTCTAGCCTCAGTCAACAAAGGAACCTACAGCAAGGTAAACATGAGCAAGACTTCAGACTTCATCATCGAGGCAATTGTTGGTGAAATAATTGCCTTTCCATCAATCTACTGTTTATAAGACGACAACCATTTTTACCTTTGAACAGCGTTGAACCTCCAGACAACACTATGTTGGAGAAGAGAGTGCGCCTTAGGTCCATGTCAGATTTGCGTATAGAGTACTCCAGTACTTCGTGTATACCCTCAAACTCCTCACCAATCAGGTCTGGTCTAAACAGCAGCTCTGGCGCTCTAAATCTCGCTGGTCCTACCTGTCACAGCAATGAAAGTCTAAATAACTAACAGTCCAAGGGACCTAAACCTCCCTCATCCTACACCTGTCACACCAGACAAAGCCTCAATAACTGCAAGCTCTGTGGCTTTATAATTTCTGGTCCTACCAAATGATGCCAAATGTATATTAATCAAAAGAAAATGGCATTGATTGACCTAAGGACTCTGAAACCTTTGTAATCCTTTTTTTTCCGGTTTTTTTTAGTGTCATCATTTTGGTATAATGTATCAGACATCATACTGACATAGCGCAAGTAACAGTTAACACCAGGTAAAAACTAGTACATATTTGTGGTACCGTGAACAAACCAATGTTTGAGATATTACTGGGAGATGTGTATATTACATATACACAGAATTCACCAAACATTGAACCTGAACAAAAGACTGGGGAAAGTAATACCTAAGATAAGTCTAAAATCTCATTCCTTCATGAGATATTGTACAGAAAGCAATCAACGTATCAGAACAAATATTGTCACAAATAGGGGCATAAATCTGCTGTAAGGGTCGAAATAAAAAAATAATAACAGGTCCACAACTTTAGTTCACATTACAAGTGGAAAATTAAACTGAAATCGGACATGAATTGTAGGAAACGGTTTCTGGACAAGTAGTTGTGGAAGGATGGACAGAAGGACGGACGGACGGAGTGATTACTATAAGGCACCACAACTTAATACAGGGACCTAATAACCTACCTCTATTGTACTGCCATCTGGTAATGCATACTGTGACTTCTCTGCCTCCATCGACTCTTCTTTTAAAGGATTAATAGATAAGTAGCATGCACGCTGAAACAGTAGAGTATTAATACAGATGTTAGTAACACACGCATGGATAATTTTACTGTACAATCTCACAGAGAAAAACATTACAAAAGATTCAAGAAATTTCAGAATTATCCCCAAGGTGTCATACTAGGCGAATGCCTGTTACAATGGTTTTGATGATCTCATTACTCTGCTGAATTTATCTCATTAGCTTTTATGGTTTTAATCATGTTGCTCCTTTAACAGATTTGTTGATCTCACCTCTTTAATGGTTTTGACGATTTCTAGCTCAGCTGATGTGTGGAAGTTGTACCCCTCTTTCCTCAATAAAAGCCTCAGGTAGCGAGTCACATCACGGCCGGCAATGTCTGACCTCATGATGCTGTGAGGCATTGCGAAACCCTCATAGATAGGTACAGAATGGGTGACGCCATCACCGGAATCTAACACCACACCAGTTGTCCTACCTGTCGCATATCTACAACCAAAATAGTTAAGTCATATCTACAACCAAAATAGTTAAGTCATATCTACAACCAAAATAGTTAAGTCAAATCTACAACCAAAACACTGAGGTCATATCTACAACCAAGACAGTGTATCCATGGTCAAATGTCAGGTATAACCTTTATGTACCTAAATTAATTCTTGTACACCTTTAAGTAGAGGTCCTATAAAGATTTAATGATCGGTCTTAGAACCACAGTATACTTACAGACTTAGTACAGCTTGCATGGAGATGAACAAGGCTGGTACATTAAAAGTTTCAAAGAAAAGTTCCGCTGCTTTTTCCCTATTTCTTCTTGGATTCAATGGGGCTTCTGTCAATAACACTGGATGCTGTAATGAACAGAAATAAATGGAATTATCAGAGGATTCCCTTCAAATTATTCTCATTGATGAGCAAAAATGTACCCGGTTTATTTTCAACTCTTTTAATTCTAAGTCTGTCGTTTTTTAAATGGAACATGGCTTTGTCATCTAGGAAATTTAAATATCACAATACAGTGATACCCGGAAGTCTATGAATATCAATTTACAAAAATTCTGTAAGTACACACTTTTTTGTGACCCATTCATAACACTTTCATATTTGTTTTCTTTTTGTGAGCAAATAGGACTCCGAAAGGAGTAGATAGGACGTTGCTGAAATGAAGTCCCATTCAATCTGCCTAGGGTCCTTTACAGATGTAGCCGACCAAATTTGTTTTTTAAAGATTTACCTCCATGTCCCATATTTGGCCTCATGCCTCTGCCCCAAGGGGGGTCACAACCCTTGGATTATACAAAATTAAGTCCACATTTGTCCAGAAATGTACTACAATTAATTTGGTTAAAACCCTTTTGTCTGTTCTGTATTAGTAGTCTTTATACGAAGAGTTGACAGAGAGACACCATGCCACAACTTAATTATAAGCTCACTTGCCCTTTGAGCAGGTAAACGAAAAAATATAATATTAGAAGAAATTTGCCTAAAAATACTTGATAGACAGATATATACCTCTTCTGAAAATGTCTGTAGTTGATCCTTAGAATAAATATACTGCCAGATTCTCTCCATGTCATTCCAGTCCTTGACGATGCCATGCTCCATTGGGTATCGTATCGTCAACAAGCCACGGTGTTCCTGTGATCACGAACAGCATATATGTTTTAATACATCCAATTGTTAAACAGAAACTATACTACTGTATCACCCAAAATGTGTTTATATGAATTTACAACTTTAATTTATTCTCCAGGAAACAGTCCATGTTATCAATATCCAAGTACCTCAGAGGAAATTCAATGTGCCAAAAACATTTGTAATTTTCTAAACTCATCTTCCAATCAAACTCTGTGAATTTACAAACCTATATTAAGTAGCTTGTGTCTCAATGTGGTTGAATAGCAGACATACCTACTGTAGAATCATTTATTTTCATTGGGTTAAAATTTCGTGGTTTTCATATATATACTTACCTGTTTCAAGGACATTATATATCGCTGATTTCTGATTTTCCCCTATCTATATCATACCAAACTTGTGTTTTCGTAGGGATTTAATTTCATGGATTTTTATTATCCACAAAATAAACGAAATTTAATGTCCCACCAAAATTAATGGTTTTACAGTATGTACTTACCTACACTACCAAGCGCAAGACAAATGGTATTTAATTCTAATGGCAAGCTAGCCAACTCTATTGTTTATTTAAAATGTTACACCTCAAACAAAAAAATAATTCAGTGTATAGCAGTGACTACATACACTGGTCACTTGCATATAAAATTTACAAATGACAAATAGATCCAAAATATTAGAACTATCACAATCTTGTTTTTTTTTCTATAGACTTTGACATTCACTATACAGAAAAGGGACTAGGTACTGTATTCCCTATTTCCCTCAGCTAAATGGTCCTGTTTTATAAGTGCAAACGTCAGCCTTGATAACTCCCTGGCTCTTCTTATTTAAATAACACAACAAATTACCTCCGCATCAGGACCCAGGAAAACATCCCCCTCCAACGCTCCTGCCATGACTCGCACATGTTTCGGCCGACCGATACTGAAACATTCATTTAGAGTTTGTCTCGTACAAAAATTCTGTCTGAAAATTCTCCACTGACTGGGACATAATTATACTGTAGTTATTAAGATGCAACTGAACTGTAGGGGAATACTGTGCAAACACATCTCAATACATGTTATATATTGATAATATTGAAAATGGATGCATGTACTCAACAATGCTTCACTGTACATACTGTATACTAGGAAGCCTTTACTCATTCTTCACCGACTTACATGTATTCACCAGTCAACAGTTTAATTTATGTTACCACCTCATTATAGTACAATTCATTTGTAAAGAACACTTATTTGATGTCTTTTATTACCAAAACTGTCCTTTTCATGTGACTTCATATAATTTGTAAGAAAAAATAGCTTAAAACAATCAGTTCATACAGAACCTAAACAAAAATGCGAACCAATTACAGGTCTGGTTCCTTACCTACCCTTGAAGTCACTTTTACACGAGGACTAATCCTAAGTCAGAATATCTGATCCATATCACCCAGGTAAGGATTACTACTAATTAACGCTTCTTTATCTACCTTTATGTTCCAATGAATCACAGTTACATGTTGTTAAGGTGGGGGTCTGAATATACGTGTATCTATTATAATACATGCAGCTTGCTATTCAATTACAACATAGTGAAGTGAAGCTCAGTACCAGTGACTACACCCAAGACTCAAGGAGGCCTGACCTGAAGGTCCAGTCTAGCTGTAAACTATTGCCAGTTCGATGTTTTATCTTCCTTTAGATTTTGAGGTCAATAACTAGCAGTCATAAACAGTAATGACTACATGATAATGACCCTCGAGCTCTTGTCACATTAGTCGAAAGTAATAATGCCGGGTCATGTAGCAGGTCAATCACAACAATACATTAGATTTTTATTGAAGGTAAGTAATGCTATATATATATATGATAATTATAACAATGTTCTTAATGAATATGTCTATATATCCAGATCAACTATGCTGACATATAACTCATCAACAGATTGTAGCTGTTTTGATTATATACTTACAAATTAGGAAAATGATATTTTGGCACTTGGTCTCCAGCAAAACCTGCCTTAATTACCCCAGACCCCTGTAAACAACAAAACATAACATTACTTATATTTATCATATCAGGACTTAACCCTGTAGAGTAATACCACATTTAAAATGCCAGTACATATCAAAAGCTGGTGTACATGTACCAGCAATAAACCTGATCACATACAGGGATAAGATCATGTTGTATAGCTATAGACCGCAGTTAATGTTATATTTGACGATGCTGATCATGTATACAATACATGTACTTTTGTCGGGCGTCGTCATCACTCAAGTTTAAAGTCTTCTGCCTAGCTAATGCCACGAAATTGAATTCATGGAATTGATCATGAAAAAAACGTGAGGTTTTGAGGACTTTCCGTATTTTGTGACACCCTTTCGGAGTTGGAAATCCATGAGATTCTGCCTCATGTCAAAAAATAGTACTTCTTTTGATGATTAGGGCGAGTGCAAAATACTTTAGAACGAATATATATCTAAGTAACTCGCAAAATATAGCGAGTGCAGAAAAAATACGGATTTTCTCCAACATTGGGAAAGTGATAAACGCCAGGGAGGGGTAAAGTACTCTGGGAGTTACCTCCCCATTTCGATCGATCGCACCAATATTGTAGGTACACGTTAGGCCTATTTCACGGCCACGAAAAGCAAAAGATCATCATGCATGCTGATTATACCGCTTGAAGAAAGTAAATCAGTAACCATTGAATTACAGCACAAAAAATAAACGGCGAAATATGATAATATATGGTATTCACATATAAAATGAGTCATTCTGCAATCAACATTTCAGATAAAAATGGCCTCCTTTTTCAGCCGCATCAGCAGGTGCTTTCGGACCGCTGTGATATCTCGAAACCTAAATAATACTCGAGAAAATCCTCACTCACGTTGTCTATTACAACAGGCTGGTTTGCTATCACGTCAGAATAAGGTTCCATTTATTCCTCTCGTCATTCATCTACACAACCATCGATCCAGTCTAAGGCCTGTCTAAAATCAAGGTACGAAATAGCGGACAAATTTTCCGGATTATCAACCCTGAGACAAACAGTCATGTAACAATTATGCAATCTCTTTCCATAACAGTAACAGAGGTTGCATGGAATAAGATAATTCTACATAAATCCTTTGTTGTATACATTCTACAAATTTATTGTGGCATATTTCTTACTCAAATTATTTCAGGTCGGGGTACGATATCTCGACTGACTAATTGTGATAAATATAGCGACAAGTCGGGTATAATTTATATAAATGTGTCGCGATATTTATCACAGCCTTTGAACGATAAATATAGATGTGCAATTTAAAAAAAATGTGGTAATTACGTACCCCCGGACCTGCAATACGTCAACGGAAACTTAAAATTTGTAAATTGTCGCGCTAATGAAATAAATAATAATTTAACTTTTTATATATATATATATATATGCCGTATTAGTAAACATTGTAATCTCGTGAAAGCTACGCTGACCATTCTTGCGTGTTCATTCTGATTATTTTTACATCATCAACCGGTAGGTCTACGTTGGTCAGTGTTGGTACAGGGATATGACTTTAAAGCTGCGTTGTATACAATTAATTATGTTCCCAAAATCATGTTGATTTTCCTCTAGCTAGTCCAAATGTTACCTCAATGGTGGATATAACCTAAATAGCCAAACTTCAGACAGGCTGCAGAGCCTTACAGTAGAGTAACCAACAAGTAAAGTCAGTGCAGAAAGAGTGATACAGTCGGCAAATCACTTCGCCATGCTTCACAGTGTTCTAGAAGCAACAGTCAAATGATTACGAAAAGTTGTCCTACGTCCATATAACGATTCCCGTGCATGTTGTTGTCATTTAGGTATTTAAAACTAGAACTTACAAAACGATTCAGCTCAAATATTACTTGCCAAAAAATAACAATGCGATACCTACTAACGCAAATCACAGAAAAGCACCACTAGCACCCATGACAGTAATAGATACACTTCATAGACTCACATGGACATTCTAAGACCTATCACGCCACCGAAAGAAGGTACAATACATATTTCTTGGTGTAAATTCTATCTACAAATGGCCTGAAGCATTTTCTCCAAAACCTCGCTACTCAAACGAGATTGCTCGAGCTTTGACATTTGTTTGTCGGATACGGATACAGAGCTCTTAAAATATTTTTTTTGCGATAAAAGCTGAAACTATCTGTGAAATCTTTCAGGTCACTCGGCACTACACGTAGTCTTTTCCACCCATAGACAAATTTAACATGTGAGCGCATGAATAGCACTCTGGAAGTGTCTTCCAGCCTTTATCGACCAGTAGATTACTGACTAAGCTGTACGATAAGCGGGGCTAGTTCGAGTTTCCTATCGTGAACTTTCCTTTTCTTGATAGTAACAGCATTGTTACTCTACTTACGGTGTTTACCATCACAGTTGATTCGGCTTCAATTGTCTGCTCCGAATATAATGATTTCTGTGATAGATGTCGATTGCTGACGGACACACTTATACCACTAGGTTTAGAAAGATGCAGGCTGATGAAGACTATGGATAAGTTGTATGGTTGCAATCATCTCAATGATAAATATGCTGTTGTGTGATATGAACGTCGATTTTTTTAATTACGTTGCCTCGTTGTGTCGTTTTGTCGTTGCCTCGTTGTGGCGTTTTGTCGTTGCCTCTTTGTGTCGTTGTCACTAACCCGGCTCTCACTTGGAGGACGTATCATAACTTGTGTTGTACTTAGACTTTCATGGTGGGTTTCGTCAATGAAGTAGAAGACTATTACCCTTCTGGAACATCTGGTTTTATTCTCCTTTTTAATGATCCCCATATAATTTGTCCTGTGTTCATAATTACGGTATGGTTAATACGGGTGTTTCAGTTTGTTTAACTACCCTTAATCATTCCAATGGCAAACGGACTGTCACCTGCACATTGCGTAGGTCGATTTCCAACCAGACCGGGAGGGAAGTGGGGAAGGGGCAAGGAAGGGATACGGAAAGACAAAGAGGGTCCGATCGACGGTATAAAGGTAAGAAAGATGAGAACGAGAAAAATAGAATGTAAGAAGGGTTTATCATAGAAAATATCATGGATATGGTGTTTTCCTATAATAGAAAATGATGAATAAGTGTCTGAAGAACAAACATATATTATTTACCTAGATTCAGTACTCCCAGCTTAGCCACCACGTATTCAGACAATTATAGGCGCGCAATGAGACTGACCGTTTGTTGCTTAATTGGCTGTTCATATGTACATAAGTGATACAGAGGTACATCGGTAATACAGAGGTACATTAGTAATACAGAGGTACATTAGTAATACAGAGGTGCATTACAGAGGTACATCAGCAATACAGCGGTACATTAGTAATACAGAGGTACATTAATAATACAGAGGTATATCAGTAATACAGAGGTACGTTACAGAGGTACATCAGTAATACAGAGGTACATTACAGAGGTACATCAGTAATACAGAGGTACATAACAGAGGTACATTAGTAATACAGAGGTACATCAGTAATACAGAGGTACGTTACAGAGGTACATCAGTAATATAGAGGTACATTACAGAGGTACATTACAGAGGTACATTACAGAGGTACATTAGTAATACAGAGGTACATTAATAATACAGAGGTACATCAGTAATACAGAGGTACGTCAGTAATACAGAGGTACATTAGAAATACAGAGGTACATTAATAATACAGAGGTACATTAGTAATACAGAGGTACATTAATAATACAGAGGTACGTTACAGAGGTACATCAGTAATACAGCGGTACATTAGTAATACAGAGGTACATTAGTAATACAGAGGTACATTAATAATACAGAGGTACATCAGTAATACAGAGGTACGTTACAGAGGTACATCAGTAATACAGAGGTACGTTACAGAGGTACATTAGTTATACAGAGGTACATCAGTAATACAGAGGTACGTTAGTAATATAGAGGTACATCAGTAATACAGCGGTACATTAGTAATACAGAGGTACATTAATAATACAGAGGTACATCAGTAATACAGAGGTACATTAGTAATACAGAGGTACATTACAGAGGTACATCAGTGATACAGAGGTACATTAGTAATACAGAGGTACATTAGTAATACAGAGGTACATTACAGAGGTACATTAGTAATACAGAGGTACATTAGTAATACAGAGGTACATTAGTAATACAGAGGTACATTACATAGGTACATCAGTAATACAGCGGTACATTAGTAATACAGGGGTACATTAATAATACAGAGGTACATCAGTAATACAGAGGTACGTTACAGAGGTACATTTCAGAGGTACATCAGCAATACAGAGGTACATTACAGAGGTACATCAGCAATTCAGAGGTACATTACAGAGGTACATCAGTAATACAGAGATACACATACGTTTGTTTGTATTATAATCCGAGTGCCAACATTTTTACCAGAAGTCAAATACATGTATATACTGTTTAACATAAGGTGTCATTTTGTATGATATATTTTCAGGCCGCTTTTGTTAAAAAAAAATATAAAACAAAATGATTGCCTCGTCCCTAAACAATCATGAAGAGCGCTCAAAGCATCTTTGTCTTTAATAACAATAGCAAAAACCACTGAAAACCAACACCAAAATAAGTGCTTACATGTGCAGTAAACACATGCAAATACCATTTTAAACTGTAGCATCTCACTAACACTGCCAATTTTCATTTGTATTTCGAAGGAATGGGGTGGGGGAGTAAAACTTTAAAAAAAAATTACTCAATTACCAATTCAGACGCGATAAAATGGCTAAAGTCATAAAAATGAGAAATAATTAACACTAAATTACATCATGGAACTACGTTCTAGCTTTTGGATGAATCTAAGAGTGTCAATATTTTAATTTCATAGTATTAAGGAGCCGGTATATGAATTGGGATTAACATGTGAACCACCTGCTTCCACAGCATAGGGTAATTGTCGATATCTTACATGTCCGTCACGCCACGGGTGGTCACTACAAATATCACCATCAGGTATGGACAATGTTCTACACCCCGGGCAGTGAGGGTGTGTCTCATTCTCTCACGACCTCCTTAAATGACCTCAGCTGTTTATAAGAATTTAATTAAAATAAAACAAAACCAAATCCGTATATTATATTTTTATTTACGTCTCAACTCATTGCATAATAAGTACATAAATACGTTTGAGCTTTAGGATTTATAATTACACAGATTATTATATTGTTATCTGCTTCGTCACATGAATATAATTCCGTGATAAAAAGAATGCGTTTGCAACATTAAATAATACACACAGTTTAAAGTATATTGTCAACGCCATACATTCACTACTGAATTATGAGAGACGAGTTACCTTCAATCATATATATCAGTAAATGATCACATAATCCATCTAAATTATAAAATTATAAATCATTCATATCTTCGTAAAAACGCTTTCTTTTTATCATTGAATTATATTCATGTGAAGAAGCAGATAAAAACATAATAATCAGTGTAATTATAAATCCTAAATCTTAAATAATGTAATAAATATTATATATAACCTAAAACATACTTTATTACGTTACAAAACACACAAGCTTACTAACTGTAAGTAACTCCATTATGTTACACATAAATGTCTCAATTATATAAAAAAAAATATATATATATATATATATAACAATATAGTAAAATAAGCATTGCACTGTAAACTATCAAAAGCAAATCAAAGGTTTTCATATATAAAGTTAAATCCCCTTAAAAAGTTCAAACAACTTTTGGAAGGAAGTTTACATATATCATTGCTTGATAAAACATAGGACATTTTGTAATAGCCCGAGTTTGCTCTGGCCCTGGTACCAGACTTAGACATTTTGACAGATAGATGTCTGGATTTATCTGTCAAAATGTCTAAGTCTGGTGTCAGGGCCAGAGGAAACTCGGGCTAATTTTGTAACAGAGATATTTCTGAAATTCTCTTGCTGGAATTCTCAATTCTGCTTCTCCG